TGTTTAAGCTAGTTTGAGCTGAGTTTCTCTTTCTTGCAGCTGAAAGAGTCCCTACCAATTCACAGATCTATAGGAGCATATACTTGTAAATAAAATTTTATTTTTTTGACAGGAGAAATGCTCAGTATATCAAATTCCCTAGCTATTTTATCCTTTAAAAAAGCATATCTTCTTGTATCTCACTGATGCCGAATTTCACTTATTTCTGTTCAAGCATTTATTTACGCCTGTCTGGAAACAAAGTCTGAGGATTATGTTAACACTACCTTATCGCTGCATCGGTTTTATCAAAAGCTTACTTTGGGCAAATAAACAAGTCTGTTCAGCATTATTTAGTGCTAGGCAATTTGAAGTGCGGGTACCAAGCCGCTTCACAATCAAAGCCATGCAAATCTCTGCCTCATTTTTCTTGTTGATTTGAACTTACTTTATAAAAGCATGCAAATTGTTCAATTACATACACTGAATTAAAAAGTAAATGGTCCACTGGATCGACATGATTGGGGCTGCTGATTTAGAAGGGTCATCAATAATTAAAGATAAACTTCCCTGAATCTTGACGTAAAATTGAGTGGATTTAGAGCATAAGGAAATGAAGAGGTTCAGTTATAATTAGAGCTGATTTTCGACGACGCTTCTAATAGAAATGGATGTTTAGAGAAACACTGGGAAATGGGTGCTGTGTTAAGAGAACAGTATGCTAGGGCTCAAAATGGTCTTCGCAGTTTGGTGTTTCAAAGGGAGCAATTATATACAGTTCCTAGTGGTTTTTTTTTTTTTTTTTTTTTTTTGCGGTACGCAGGCCTCTCACCACTGTGGCTTCTCTGGCTGCAGAGCACAGGCTCCGGACGCACAGGCTCAGCGGCCATGGCTCATGGGCCCAGCCGCTCCACGGCATGTGGGATCTTCCCAGACCAAGGCACGAACCCGTGTCCCCTGCATCGGCAGGCGGACTCTCAACCACTGCACCACCGGGGAAGCCCTGGTTTGTATTTTTGAAGGAAATGATATTATGCTTCTATTTTACAGATATAATAAAATATGAAGAAAGACTAGACGTAACACATTCAAGGTGAAAGAGCAAAGACTGCCAGGAGAGAAATAATAGGCTTCCTCTGATAGTTTACTTCAGAGAGGGGAAAAAAAAGTCAAAATTTAAACTGCATAAAAACACTTCTTTAAATGGATACCGTGTTTCCAACTTTTTATCAGTTACCAGAGCCTGGCATATTAATAAAGTTGGCTTATTTGCCCTTAATGAGTAACTTTAATTCTTCGGTTGCTTATGCAAGTCACACACCGGCGAATGAGAGAAAAAGGCTAGTCCTTCAGGGCAGTTTCTCTAATCAATAATTTTGCTTGTAGAAGTGAAGGTTTTTAGGAAGAAGAATATAGAAGGGAAGGAACTGGAAAAACAAGAAAATACTTCAGATTCACTCAGCATGTCAAAAATGACATTCTAAAGGTCAGAAAGCAGATGGTAACTTAAGAATACAGTGGTAGCGTTGATAACAAAGAGAATGTATTAAAGCAATACACTTCATGGTTAGAAACTCGGTATCGAAAGTGGCATTGGGGGCCATCAGAAAACGAGAGCAGGGACTTCCCTGGTGGCGCAGTGGTTAAGAATCTGCCTGCCAATGCAGGGGACACGGGTTCGAGCCCTGGTCCAGGAAGATCCCACATGCCGTGGAGCCACTAAGCCGGTGTACCACAACTGCTGAGCCTGTGCTCTAGAGCCCACGAGCCACAACTGCTGAGCCCACGTGCCACAAGTACTGAAATCCACGCACTCTAGAGCCCACGTGCCACACATACTGAGCCCATGGGCCCCTAGAGCCCATGCTCCGTAACAAGAGAAGCCACCACAATGAGAAACCTGTGCACCGCAACGAAGACCCAACGAAGCCAAAATAAATAAATAAATTAATTAATTAATTAAAAAAAGAAAACAAGAGCATGTCATTAAATGCATATACTAAAGAACTGATTAACACAAAGATCTCTTTTCTTCCCTTTTACACAGGGCTCAAAAATTTGTTTAATAACACTAATAATAATAGTAAAATACTTTGCTGTTGACAAATGCAACTTTCATAAACATTAATTATTATAAGGATTCTGTAAACTAGGTATTTTAAAAACATATTTACAAAGTGTAATATGATAAACATTTAATTTGAATATATTGGTAAATTTTATATTAAGAATGTCATATATTAAGTAAATTAAATATTAAATTATATAATGTATTAAACATTAAATGCATTTAAATACCTAGGACTCTTTGGCTAAATGACAGGGCTGGGACTTGAACTGAGATCCTATTACTTACAGTCCTGTGCTCTTTCCATCATACCAGGAAATCTCTTTCCTGGATCACTGACCTTCATGCGACACTGGGTTCCTTTATTCTCTTGGTATTGCTCAGACTAAAATCAAATTAATAAGGGTATATTCATGACCATTAGTACAGACTGACTTATGCCCTGTGAACCTTTTAAAGGGGATAGTTACCTACACAGAGGAGAGCTGGGCTCTGGCCACTTTCTTTTTAGGTCAAGGGGCTTTGCCAACTCAGTTCAAATGTGAGTGGGAGGTGGAGAGGAGGAGATGAAATAGGAGAAAGAAAGAATCACAGATGGAGAGCTGGAAGGGCTCACAAGGATTATCCAGTCCAACTCCTCAATTTTAGCAATGGAAGTGACTTCTCCAGATCCCACTGAGGTAAATGGCAGGACTGGAATCCATGCTGACCACTTCCTGTCCTCTCCTCCCCTCTATGCGAGGATAACGGTAGCTCTGGCATTCCATGCTTTCTTGAGATGGCTCTTTCTACCCTGCTCCTGCCATAAACGACATGAGGCCTGTCAAAATCCATCTGAGGAAAATACGGTGGTCTTTAAATACAGAGGATGGGCCATCTCCTGATTCTTAAATCAATTACTGAATTGCTACTATGTTTGTGTTGTGGAATGTATGAATATTTAGGGATATGAATAATATACAAACCTGCCTTCAAAAACTTTACGCTTGCCGAGGCAATTTAGTCCCTAAATAATAAAACTATTATAATTCTTTCTATATCAGTGGTTCTCAAGCTCTTTGAGGTTCCCAGGCTCTCTACGAGAATCTGATATAAACTATAAATCTGCTCCCCAGAAAAATCCACGCATTTTTGTACATATTCAGGGGGTTGCTGGATCTCCTAAAGCCCATCTACTGACCATGAATTAAGAAACTCTGTTATAAGAGATTCACTGAGTTCCACCATGTAAAAATTATCCGAAGAACAAAGATTGAGAGAAATACTAGTTATACCTTTTCTTTGATGCAAAATGAGTAAACTCTAAAAATATGTCATCCCATGTTAAGGGCAAAGAAAGTGCTTTCCCTAGTATCATCTGAATGGCCCTCTACAAACACTTATTTTCCCATATCTAATTTTGTGTGTGTGTGTGTTATTCTATGAGAATATACTGTTTGCATCTAGAATTTCTGGAATGGCCTTTTCATGTATATATAAAATACAAAGGTAAACTTCATTAAAACCAGAAGAAACAGAGCTTAGCTTATGAATTATTCTATTTCAAATTTTTTATCTAGCTTGGAATGCTGTTTCTAAGGCTTTGATGCTGAAGGGAGCGAAGTCATTAAGATGAGTTGATAATACAGCCGGCAAGAGCACTTTCCTCCTCTCTGGTAAAAAAAAACAACAACAAAGTACTTAGGTCTTTTGGAATTCAAATTTCTTTCTTAATGAAAAAGTGAAAGGATGAAATATAACAGTAAAGAAATCTCTACAGAAGTGGGAAGCCGTACCATCAATACTAAAGTTTCAGAAATAATTTCCTAAAGCTTTGAATAAATCAGAAAAAAATTATACCAAGCCGTTTATGTTAAAATATTTTACAAAAGCAGTTATCTTGTTACATATTCTGAAGCAAATAAATGGAGCAGTTAGAATTAACATATTCTTGAGTATCCTGGCAAAGCGGACAAAATAATAAAGCAAAGTGGGTAAGAGGACAAAAACAAGGGGGTTTCCATCTAATTTTTAAGAACCTGTAAAGTAAAATACTTAAAATACTAAAATATTTAAATACTTAAAATACTAAAATATAATTCAATTTGATACTCTGCTAACCTCAGGTGTGAGAAAGTTAAATAGAAGGAAATGTGACCCAAGGCTGGAGAAAGGGTTTAGATCCCTTACTTGTTACCAACATTTTAAATGGATTAGAAACACAAATTATTAGCAAATAGGCACAAGAGTCTGGAGAAGTGATTAAAAATGATTACTTATAGAACAAACAAAAACTTTCTAAAACATCAATTTATTAAAATTTTCCTTGAAAATGGAGAATAGCCCAACGCAATCATAATCTCAACAAACATTGTGAGGCAGTACAGCTCAAGTTTAAAAAGACCTAATGTTAGTGCTAGATAGATTCTGATTAAAAAAAAAAAAAAATCCACAGAGAACAGTTCACAAAACGGGATAAACATTCACCGTGAAAGACCCATACAACTCTTCAAGTTGAGCTTTTTTGGAGGGAGGTAAGAGAACAAAAGACAGACTAGAAATGATATAAACAAAGAGACTTCAGGCTTAAAGTCAAGGATCAGTCAAAAGGAGGACAAATCCACCTTTTCTTCATATGGAACTACTGATATTAAATGTATTTAAAATTGAAAACAATGAAGCTGAGGTAAGAAAACAAAATGAAGGAAGGGAGGAAAGAAGGGAGGGAAGGAGGGAGGGAGGAAGGAAGGAAGGAAGGGAGGAAAGGGGGGGGAGGAAGGGAGAGAGGGAGGGGGAGGAAGGGAGGGAGGGAGGGAGAAAAAGGCTACACTGAGACATCTTTTCCGTGTTGAAACAAAACCTGACATCAGCATAGGTGCAAGTGAACTTATTCATTTACAATACACTTCTCTTCAGGAAAGCTGTATTAATGAAGCAGGACGTATTTAAAGGATCAATGTGAGCATATACATACCACAGGCTGTTTTGTGATGTCCACCAAGTCCTTAAGATTATAATATTGATGCTTCTCAAAGGCCGAAAACAACATGTCTAAAACGTGTTGTTTATCAGCTCGAGCTCGTTTCCCATCTTCTTTCTTTTTCCTTTCATATTCAATCTAGGTGCAAAAAGCAAAAAAAACCGGAAGGCATTAATTCAACATGCTCACTCTGAAACACAGGCACTCTCTTTTCAGTCCTCCACGTGACGCTTAGATTTTAAGCTGCAAAACAGCAGGTCAAAGGGTCGTGGTTCAGTACCTGGGGTCCTCACTGCTCCCAGGGCTCCTCAGAACTTTAAGGCTCCAAGAAGGTATTAAAGCCCATCTGTAACCCGTTTTCATTATTCCCTAAAGCTTTACATAATGTGTCCACTTCCTCGCAAAAAGCCTTTCTTTACCGAAATTATATCAGTTCAGCGTGGCCACCAGTTAGCTCATGTTGATCACAAAGTCTAACTTGCAGTTCTTTGTTTTTGATTACTCGAAATTCAGTAAAACAGTTTATCTGCTACATGCAGTTTGGTAGGCAACATCTTTCAAAATTGGAGTTTTTCAGGGCAGCAAGAGGGTTGAGGGGCAGGCAGATCACAGAACAGGTTCTCTAAGGATGAAAAGTTTGGGGAACATTGGTAAAAAGGAAAGCACATGGGAGGTGACAGGAGGCCTTTTCTCCTCCCAACTGTGTGACCTCTTTGAACTTGCTTCTTCTGTAAGATGAAGTAAGCAGTGACATGAAGAGAGTGTATAAACTCTCTCCTAGTGTTACCTTCCAGAGACATGTGCATTTGTAAAAAAAATTACCTTTTTATTGAAAACGTGCAACTTACTTGCATTCACGTCAGTTGATTAAGCTTTTAATTTTTTTTTTTTTTTAAGAAAAACTTTATTTATTTTATTTATTTATTTTTGCGGCACGCGGGCCTCTCACTGTTGGGGCCTCTCCCGTTGCGGAGCACAGGCTCCGGACGCGCAGGCCCAGCGGCCATGGTTCACGGGCCCAGCCGCTCCGCGGCACGTGGGATCCTCCCGGACCGGGGCATGAACCCGCGTCCCCTGCATCTGCAGGCGGACTCCCAACCACTGCGCCACCAGGGAAGCCCAAGAAAAACTTTATTTTGATAAAGCCTCAGGAACTATATGTTATAGGACATGTATATAAACTGCAGCAGCCCACCTGGTAAATACAGCAGCAGAAGGGGGGGGGGTGAAAGCTGCCAAGAGAACAATCTTCTGTGCATCTCTATAATCTAGAGACTAGCTTCCAAGGCAGTGAAATACGTTTCCAAATGTACAACTAAATTAGGCACAAATTCCAGCTTCATATAGTTAGGCTTATTCTCTGGATTTTAACAATAGAGATGTAAAAAGATAAAGTCTAATTTCTACTGATGTCAAGACTAAATAATATATCAGAGACTTTCAAATTAGAGGCAAGAAGTAACTCTGACAACAAGTATCTGTCCTTCAATTAGATAAAATTAGGAGCTATACAAGGAAAAAGGACTAAATTGAATGTCTTAATTTTTATGATATGTACATCTTGGGAGTAAAACTCAAAACCCATTCATCTCCTCAACAGATTACGCATAGATTAGGTGCTTGGTATTGCACTAAAATATGGGGCAAATAAGACACTCTCCTTCAAAAGGTATCCCTTTCTTAGGGCTTGTGTATTAAAATGTACAGACAGGGCCTTGCGCATTTTAAATGTAGTAATAGTAGTAATGTAGTAATAGACAGCACAGAGCTACCTAGAACAAGATCATGATGCTGAAAAAAAGTGCAAATGCATGGCACAGACTGTATTGTTGGGGAGGAATGAAATCTAGCTAGTCTCAAGATTTTCTGGGTGGAAAGAGCCTGAAAGAAAACAACTGTGGGCAGTTACAAAGGAATTGCTAAAGAGCAGAGTGACTAGAAGAGCTAGAAGCAAGACTGCAGAGGGGAGAGACCAGAGAAACCCATGACCAAGAGGGAAATCCATGCCTTCTCAATTTGAGGAAGATGGAAGAACAGATGAAAAAAAAATGCACTTAAGGAAAAAGGCAGAATTACAGATTCTGCCCCAATTCTGAGAGAAAGGAGGCTGCAGAGATAGCCAAGACCAACAGAGATCTACCTGAGGGCCACTCAAGGAAGAATTTTCTTTCTCTCGGGTCAAAAGAAGGATAGAAAGAACTAAGACAGTGGCTGTAAGATGGAGAAAGAAATCACGACAGACCAGGACAAAACCCACAAATCCAAACAGTCTTTGGATTAAAAAGAAGAATGAGATCATGGAATGCCTTAAGGGATTAATCTTTAAGCCTTGCTTTGCTGACCAAGGTCTCAAATATGTCATTATTTCCCCCTACTTACATTTGTACTTAGTTTGCATCCTGACATTCCCTTCCACAGGTGCACTGTATTTGAAAGGGTTTGCTTTGTCCACTGTGATGGACAGTCTAGAAAGGAGGGCCTGGTAAAAGAGTATGAAAGTCTGGACCACGGGATGAAGATGTTATAGCCCTTTACTCTGACCAAGTGGGGACTAAGAGAAACTTAACTTGGTATCTAGAAAATAGAGGGAGATAGAATCAGACTAAGGAGGAGTGGGGAAAGCCTATTTCCTTCCCGCAGGCTTGAGTGGGATGTGGGATCTCATTCAGGGAAAAGCCATTGGTCCTCAAGAAAAACAAGACAAAGAAGTGGGGACCTAGCAAAAGACCAGTGCTAGGCTTTGGACTCTAAGTATGGAGCTACAGCTGTATGATATTCTGTCTTCTCTTCTGTCCCAGCTTTAATTTATGCTGAAAGAAGATGGAAAAAGTTAAATTAAGGAAATAGGAAACAGAAGTTATGGTATATTCAGCTTCCACCTTTAGCCATCTCTTCCTTGTGTAAAATGACTCGAGGGCTTCCCTGATGGCGCAGTGGTTGAGAGTCTGCCTGCCGATGCAGGGGACACAGGTTCGTGCCCCAGTCCGGGAAGATCCCACATGCCATGGAGCGGCTGGGCCCGTGAGCCATGGCCGCTGAGCCTGCGCGTCTGGAGCCTGTGCTCCGCAACGGGAGAGGCCACGATAGTGACGGGCCTGTGTACTGCAAAAAAAAAAAAAAAAAAGACTCGAGAAGCTAGGAAGATGAACAAAAATGTTTTCAAGTAAAGAAAAGTGCTGGTAAAGCAAGATGGCCCAGTTCAGAGAGGGCATACATTCTAGCTGGCAGTGGAGAGAAAAACTTAAGTGTTTGTTATCAAGTTGTCCCAACCCTAAAGCCATATGTCAGACCCAAAAGGATTGAAGAAAAGAATTTAGAATAAATTAGAAAGAAACTTCAAAATCAATATTGAGGATAAGGGACTTCCCTGGTGATCCAGTGGTTAAGAATCCGTCTTGCAACACAGGGGACGCCAGTTTGATCCCTGGTCGGGGAACTAAGATCCCACATGCCTCGGGGCAACTAAGCCCATGCACCGCAATTACTGAGCCCACACGCTCTGGAGCCCTCGCGCCACAAGTAGAGAGAAGCCTGTGTGCTGCAACGAAAAATCCTGTGTGCCACAACTAAGACCCGCCAAATAATAATATAAATAAATAAATATTAAAAAAATACTGAGGATAAGATTAAGAGTCAGATTAGGTTGTGATTTGTAATGTTAATGAGTACTGAGAAAAGCACCAATTCTACACAGAAATTTTTAAAAAAATCTTGGTTTACATGTTTCAATCTCAAAACACTGTATTTAACATTGCTGCTTTCCTTCTTTAAATTGCGGAGAAAACAGACTAGACTTGTATGCTTGTCTTTCTGTGTTAACCATGTCTATCAATGGCTCAATAACCCAGGGGACAGTGCAGCCTAACTTTACTTTTGACTAGTGAAATAAAAACACTTAAAAGCGCACCTGAAACTAACACAACATTGTAAATCAACCATACTTCAATCAATCAATCAAATATTTGCAAAAGAAAAAAAAAACACTTAGAAGTGTAATCTGAAAACCCAGACATATATCTCTTTAATGCCCTCAGGGCCTGTACTATAGGATAACCTACAGAAAAGGCTGTTTTAAAACAAAATTTCTGCAGTACAGCATTATTTAAATCTTTTTTGATAATGTCCAAGACAGGCTCATAACCCAAATTCTGCTCTGTGGTATCAGGTAGTTCCAATATATGTGTAACTATAAAAAGGGACTGAAATTACTTCCATGATCATTTAGTTATTAATAACATACTCAGGACAAAACTAAGATCCCTGAGGTAACTTTTCTCTTTTAAGCCAAACAGTGTAGAAATGCCAATCTTAATACTGCACTTACAACTTTGTACTACAAATAAAATTAATTCTACAAATAAGCTACAAATGATATGAACTAGTTTAGGAGAAGACTACTGTTTTGCGATAATGCTATTTCTTCTCATTTTAGCTCTCTTCCCTTTGGGCATTTTGTTTTGTACTGGCATTATAAGGAAATGACACTCAAAGCAGTCATATTTTCTAACTTTTTAGCAGCTACCACAAAATATTGGTAGGAGAGTTACTGGACTAGAAATAGCTTTTATATTATATGAATTTTAATCACTGATCTTATATCTGCCCCCAATGACCACAGACTACAGTGTAGCCAGCTGCATAGAAATAAACGTCAATTCAGAAGGAACGTTACATTTAATCTCTAGTTACAAATTTTTACAATCCAAAAAATCCATCATATACAATTCTACTTTCAAAATGAAAAACAAATTATTCAAGACTAAAACGCAACCAAATGTTGAAAATCCACTGTGGATGTGGTATAGAGCTGTTCAACCATCATTACTGAAACAATAATCACTGACTAAAATTATAAATGCCACCCACTGCCAATTAAAGTATTATAATACAGATGTCTGTAAATTTCTAGTTTGTTGTTTGCAGAAATATTTTGATTGCTTTGTCAAGGCAAGTCTTTGTGGAGGCTTGTATTTTAACTTTTAAAGTGAGCATGACAGCCTTGAATATCATGGTTTGCATTTTAAATCCTTATGAAAGACTCCCCTCCCACCCCCAATGCTCCTGTTTCTGCTTAGTGTGTTGTTATCTCTTGGGAGGAAATTATTTATTTAGAGTTGATCAGTCCTTGGTGTGCAAAT